CCCACCTCACCTCGTGCACGCGTGAACCTTAACCCCGAACCCCTCCCCTTCAATCGTCGATCCCCAATTCCCATCACCCCATCCTCCATTCCCTCTTCCTCTCTTCCACACCCGCGCCCTTTTTTGAAAGAAAATTCACCGCCGTCCCCTGGTGCTGGTGCGAAATGCGACTGTGCTTCAATAAGAGACGTCTCTGTGGAGAGCTGAAGCCGAAGGACAAAACAGGCGACGGTCCATTAGGAACAATCGGCGAACTCATAGTGCTTCGGTGGGTAGTGGCAATCGGACGAAATGCATTAAATTAAATGCGTTCCCCGCAGTGCCCCTTGACAATACACCTACGCATATTTGTGGCTCTTCTTCGAGGAAAATTAGCAAGACAATTTCATATGATTACATGCAATTCCCATCATAACAAAGGCATTACTTGTGTCTTTACTATCAATGACGATCGTAATCCCCTTTAAAAATTATATTCGTATCGTAATGGAATGAGAGGCCTTGAGTCACAAAATTAAATAAAAATGGCTCTAAAGTACGCGCTGAAATTAATTTCTTGGTTATTAATACAATTACGAATTAATTTCCTGCAGTAACTACTTTATTCCTTCTAAATGCACGCGTGTTTAAGAGATTAAGTACTATTTAGTATCTTTCAAAATTTATTCTGATTATTTTAAATACAGAACGAGGTCAGGGCTAACGAGCATTTTGAGAAAGAATAAATCAAAGAATTATTGGTTGAAATTACATGCAGTCAATAAAATATCAGTGACGAACAATCGGGGAAATAGGTACCAAACGCCCCTTAAAGTACACTTCTAGGATGCATTCACAATTTAATAGTCTACAAAGATAAAGTCACTCTTCTGAAATAAGTAGTTCTAGACGTATCTCAGGAAGTAAATAAATAACATGATCTAGACGATCGATAATATAGAAAATATTCCTGCTAATACTTGAAATATTTTCCTCCGTTTAAATGTTACAGAATAAATAACGACAAGATGATAGGATCAAATTTGTATTTTTGAGTAGCAAAGAATGAATTAAGGATCAATATTTTCTTTATTATTTATGAATCATCGATCATTTAAATACTTAAATGTATTATCTTTTAACATGAAAACGTATAATGGATTTCAACATTTCTGTGCAATGTTGATTTAATCAGAGCTTAACGACGTCAGGGGAATTTTGTGGTTCTGATTCAGAATTTCATGGAATTATCTTCTCATATATTCTCAGCATATTTAGAATTACACATGAACAGTCACATGACTGAGAAATGTTTGCGAAATCCTCCTAACATGGTTTACAATATCTAAATTCGGAATTCAGTGAAGCCGAGGGCGATTACTGAAGCTTTAGTTCCCCAGCATTTCAAATTTCATGAAACAAGTTCAGTGCTTTCCCATGTTTCCTTAGGCACAACACAAACTCCGATTATTAATTATGTGAAAGTGATGATGACTTCACAAGCAACTAATAACTGCAATTGACTAAAGGTTTCTGAAATGGTATATTTCCCCTCACCGAAATTAGTATTTTATATTAAGGGATGTTCGAAATTTTGTATAAAGGGATGGTCCCAGAGACACAGATAGAAATCACGCCTGCGGGATGAGCCAGAACGTTTCGCATTATTGCTGTCTTCCAATTTTCAGAGAAGATAACGTGGAAACCCCGCGAAGAGGAGGTAAGAATTTCTCAAAGCGGAAGCCATGCAGGAACACCAAGTTTTTTTGTATATATATATATATATATATATATATATATATATAATCCCAAGATTTAATAGGAATCTTACGATTTCTGGAAAATTATTATTGTAATAATACCAAGGAACTGATGAATCAAATGACTTTGTTGTGCAGTTGCGAAGGCACAATTGCTATTTATTTTCAAAAGACTGTGCAGGTAGAGTCGTTATTTCAGAGGGGAAAGAAAGTTCATGAAGAAACTTCTTAGTATCTTTTTAACTGATGCTCCACTGGCGCGAGATTTTGCAAAGCCCAATAGAGCATCACCGAGCAAAATTATTTCCACAGCATGATTTCCGTTTGTCTTGATATTGCCTTAGATTCTTCGCGGAATGGATTTTACTAACTCTACCGTTGTCGTGGGGTCAACGAAACTGCATTCTCTTAGAAGAGTATGTCAAGATCTTGTTTATTAGACACTTTGTATTTACAATTCTCGATTCCAAGAGCAGACCACATATGATTCATGGAGTTAATGTCAAAGAATTGAGGAGGTGTATCAATTTGCCTTTAGGTTTTGTAGAACAGCAAGAATCCAATATTGAACATTTTATGTTTGGATCAGTGTCATGTTGAAATGCAATGTTATTTCTAAAATCCATTTCAAACGCATTAACGAGAAGTCCCAAGTATGCTTCGAAGCTGTTCCTACCGGACGATTTTGGATAATGTGAGCATTAACCGACTAATTTGCAAATTGACCAAATTCGGACGTTAGCCATATGATATGTATGAATTATTTCATAGGCACACAGTTTTCATCATTTGGTTCCTACGTGAAAAATCACAGCTGTGTATGTTCTGCAGATTGTAGGGAAGAAGGTGTCCTTTGCCTACCGTGAAAAACAGCCCTTGGTGTTATTCACAGGGTTATACGTTTTTCAGGGTTTGCAGTCTCATATCAAAAACATTGATTTTTCTACTGAATGATTTCAACATTGATTCTGCAATGCATTCAAGCAGATAAACTTTGCATTTTTCTCTGAATGGTTCCTTAGTTTTGAAATTGCTTCTTTTACGTTATTGAAAATGTTCTCAACTTGGACCTTTCATTACACGACAATTAAAGAAATAGAGTAAGATACATGTAATAGAATTTCTGAGAAAAGTACATCCTAAGATCAAGGGCTGCTAACAAAGATATTTATGAAAATTGCCATCTTTTTCCTTCATTTACCACTAAACAACTGAATATCATGAAACCCTCTCTGTTATGAACAAATATTCATTCAACACTACTGAAAAGGTATGATCAAAATAGTAAAAATAATTTTAGCAAATAAATGGTGAAGAAAAATAAATTACAAATCAAGTGTACTGTCTCATGCTATTTCGCGTTATCGTACTGCTGCATTCAATAAGTTTTAATGATAAATTGGAAGGCTAGCAGAACTTCAAACTTTCTCTTGCTTCATCAAAATCAATCGTACGTTTATAGCAACCAAACCCACATTGGCGCTTCGTTACTTATCCAAAACACTTTTCATTAACAGCAGTTTTTGTCGTAGAAATAAAAGTGACTTTTAACATCCTTACAATAACATTAATTAATCGCAAAGGTCATACATTCCTCAAAACTTATAACTCTTTAGTCATCTATCTTATTTTGCAAATATATTTGAAAAGTGTAGTCCATATTACTAGTTCGCGTTTAGATCATACCATTCACTATGCATCACCACACTGAACGATGGGCAAACTGAGTTAATAAAAAGGAGAACAAATCTACATTTTTTAACACAGCGTACGTATTTGGTAGGGACAGACAACATGAACAGTTATTTAAATCTCACTAACTACCTCAGTACACATAGAATGCGCGTACTGAGGCTCAGTACCCGTAATATGCGGCTTTCTTAGAAACAGAAACTTCAAAGTTAAAATAAACGCGTTCTTAGTACATTCCCAGCCAATTCTACCTGTCACGGTTCACTTCTCACTTCGAAGAGTCCCTCAACATTCTGATCTCTTTTCCAAGCGCCCCTCAATGATCTATTCTCCCTTCTATGAGACCCTAAGGTTCTATTCTCTCTTCTAGCAGTCCTTCAAGGTACTATTCTCTCTTCTTAGAGTGTCTCAATGTTCTATTCTCTCTCTAAAGCGTGCTTCTTTGCGTTCAACTAGAATAACAAAACGTTTTTCTAATTGCAGATAACACAATACCTTTAACTCCAAATACTGATTTACAATCAATAAACCATTTTAAAAGTATGGCTCAAATTTGAGGATAAAGTAGGTAAGTTCCACTGAACTTTCATAGAAACATGCTCTCACAACGTTTCTTCTCTTCATGAGTATTCAACAATGTCTTGTCATTACACATCGTGTAGGTTCCCGCTTTCCCCAAGGGAAAAATGAAACATATCGTATTTCCCTTTTCCTCTCTCAAAGTGAAATTTAATACTAATTCACCTTATCACATCGAATTCTCGAATCACTATGAATAATACGAACTCTTGCCGAAATTATAAAATTATAACAAAAAATATTGCAAAGTACGGTGTGCGATGTTTGATCCTAAAACATAAAAAAGATGTTGATATTTGAAACCGTATATAAAAGACAAGTATATTTAACATGAATAAATAATTTAAAAAATCATATTTTGAGACAATTTCTGTCAAATCTATGGGGAATATTGTGTGTCAAATCTATCGGCGACATATTATCTCTAGGTATCTCTTCATTTGTGATTTCACATCGTCTGTAAAAGGAATCAGATCACGCAGAATCTTCTGTTTCACAACTCTTTCTTGCAAGATATCGACCGAACGTAAACATCTGGCATTTTGAAATGTAGGTGAGCGTGCAACATACTGAGTGGAGTTTGATTTTAGATTTTCTATATTACCCAATGCCTAAGTAACCTGCATAAGATAACGTAGAATCCACTGACAGATTAAAAAAACACATTAAGCTATGGAAACCATTCATAACGCCCACGGGGTAAACGTTACCTGCCGCTGCACACAGACTACAAACAACCACACGACTATTTGCAATCATTTCCGCAGTCTATCGGCGGAACGTAACCATCCAACACTCCGGAAACAGGCGGCCTAAAAGGTGTGAGTGCGCAGCATCTGGGCGGAGTGGGTCTTAACGTTAGCCTGGTAATGAGCTCAAGAGTGCCGTGTTCGCAGACACGAGGTCCACATGCCAGGCATATCCCAGTTAAGCACCCTTTCCCCCACCGTCTCCTCGTCAGGGCTTTCGCTTCTGGGTGGGCGGAAATAACAGCTTTGCAGGCCAGGGGAGGATTAGCAGGCTGGCAACGTAGGCAATTTCCCTCCGCGGTGGCGCTCCGGAGGCGCGGCCTCGCAAGTCGCGCCTACCGAGTGATTAAGCCTCGCTTCAGCAAGTAAGCCCGGGAATCATCGGGAAATTTAATGTTTTTGTAAACGCGCGCACCTGCCGCACAAGCTCGCGTGGCTGCGTAGCGTACAGCCGAAAGTTCCTTATGCGCCCACAGGGATAAGTAGGGAGATGGCAAATTTTCGACAGGCTCCAGCCACATAGTAGCTGCTAGCAATTCACAGTCAGTGAGTGGATGAGTTTGGGAAAATCCGATTGGTATGGTAGTTAGTTCATTATTTCGGTCATATTCCCTCGCGAATTGAAGAATAACAAAGGGTCCCGTTTCGCGAGATAATATTTCTCCACCCTACATCGAAAACATTTCTTGTTCTTGTGGCGGAAATTAAATAAATAAATAAATAAATAAATAAATAAATAAATAAATAAATAAATAAATAAATAAATAAATAATGAAGTTGTTCGTTCTCTATCACGTTTTCTCTCCCCTTTTGAGGACAGCACTTGGTGCTAATCAATCACCTTGTAAGGTCCCTCTATGGTAGTCTACAGATGTTTTTCCATCTATCATGAGAACGCAAGAATAGTGCACAGAGAATAAAATATCGAAGGGAAGAAAATAAGTACGACGGGGTAATATGTTAAATAAAGTTTAATAGAACCAATGTCATAATGTTAAGTAAAATATCTCTATTTTTTTCAAAAAATCATTTTATTTACATTACCTTTTTGCGATACGCATTTTTATATAGAGAATAAGCCCGCAGAACTTTTTCGAAGGTTCTTCAACGTGAAAATTAAAAAAAATGTAACTTATTATTTCACTAGTTATTTATTACGTGATTTACTATATGGTAAATAGTAATGACAATATTAAAAATTCGAAATCCACATGATTTCTTGGAGTGATTTTTTAACTAGAAATACTATGAAATGAAATCTGTCTTTCGTTTGCCAATCAAATACGATTTCTATTCACAGGAGCGAAAATGTCAACATTTCAAATACTACCAACCAAATGCAAATATTTCCCCAACAGACACGTACAGATTTTCATGTTTTTTAAAAAATAATTACTTTCTTTAAGTTATCATTATAAATATAGTTTCTTGAATACACGTGACCACAATTCATATCATCTGTGAGAAGTCTATCTTAATTTAGGTCATATCCTAGATAACCAATCCATTTCAAGTTCCATGGATTTCGTTCATAAAATACTACTCCATATGAAGTAAAATATTCTCCGGTACTCAGATATTTGCCAGCAACCATATATTGTGATAAGGAAAGAAATAATATTTCTTACCATTTTCTGCCAAAATATCTACAGGTGTAGCTTCGCGTGCCGGACTGGCATCCGTGAAGAATGTTCCTATCTTTCTTCCTTCAAGAATGGTCTTGATAGCCTTTTCTTGCATGCCATTGCAAATGACAACGCATACTCCATGATCTAAGGCCCATGTTGCTGCTTTAACCTGAAATTAAAAAAAGTTGAAGAAACTCTCAACAATTTTTGACAAAATATTTACTAGTCTTCTCGTGTCCCTGATATTCTTCTACTAAAATACTCGAATTGGTAATTATTCGTTAAGTTAGAAAATTAGAGCTGGGGGCAAGTATGAGATATCGACGAGTAGTTCCAAGATCGCACTCACAGTAATACAAGTTTGACTCAACAAAACATTATGAGAATACGGTAAGTAGTAGTATGGTAAGAGAAAGAATAAACTTAGTTAAGGGACGAAGGATTATTGGAAAAAAGAGAGGAAAGTTTTCAAACACTTGGGTCTGAAATATGCACGGGGTCCCTAGTTGGCTTTCACAAGAAAAATAATACTCGTATAACGAAAGGAGAAAGAAAACCAAGAGTATTAATTTCCATTTTTAGTTCAAAAATAAGTGCTTTATTCCTATGTATCAGTTCTTTCCGCGTATAAATGTGTGTTGATGCTGATATTTCAGAACACATCTTCGTATGCGAGTGGATTTTCACTTCAACTTTTGCCGACACGCAAAACGCATGACGCATCCGTCAGACCAATTAATATTCTCCGACTAGATGCGGCACCCCCAATTAGTGAATATGAGTTACGAGTAGAGTCAGGACCAGGCTTATCAGGAGAATTCTTCCGGGGATCGGACATTTACATGCTGAAGTGTGGCACTGGCGTGAATTCCGGATTTTTGATGCTCATTATGATAAACCATCGGACTCAAAAGCAACAGAATCCATAAATTTGAAAGTGAGAGAGCGGTGGCTTAATAGCTATTTTCTTGAGTACAGCTCCACACGGGAAATTACCGGAAGGTATAATTTTGGGGCAAATAATCAAATAAGGGAAGCGTTGATTACGAAACGAAAGATATCAGATGCACTCTACTATGAAAAATGAGTGCATTTTCTGTGGACAAAAATATTTTACTTAAGGTGATAAATCACCTTTCTGCATTGAAATCTTTGTTTCTCAGTGCTATGAGTGACATTGTGCTAAGATCGTTAAACTCTGTAGAAAAAAGATATGAAATTAGCCAAATATTCATTACTGGTATTCAATTTATTGTCGAACCTCTTCGTGCGAGCCCTAAATACAGCTGTTTGACATAATTGAAGTCGGAGTTGAATTAGTTGCTGGACTCTAATTATAAACGTATTAGAAAGTAAAGATAATATTATTGTTGGCTCGAATATTGACCCGGCATATGAAATAAAGCATAAAAAAATCCTGGATGCTGCATTGAATTGTGAATGTGGAAGAAGTGTCAATGTTTCAACAATGTTAGAGCGTAGGCTTCCGCGGCCGGAATCAGTATTTACTAGGCTGTCCGGGTGACGCCGCGTCCATGGCGAAGGTGCCGACGTTTCGGTTGCCATTCTGCGACCTTCCTCAGGGCGTATTGCCTGAGGAAGGTCGCAGAATGGCGACCAAAACGTCGGCACCTTCGCCATGGACGCGGCGTCACCCGGGCAGCCTAGTAAATACATTCAACAATGTTTTTGTTGTTTTATTTGTTTTAACAATGTTTCAACAATAAAAATTTTAATTTTGAAATTGTGGCAAAATTACTATGAGCATTACGCTTTGGGTACATTTATTGTGGGTCAGAAGATGATATAACTGTTTGAACAATGGAGATATATGAAATAATATTACAGACTTCAGAGAGGTAACAATAATCTCGAAGGCACCAGGAAATTACATTGGATTAGATTAGATTGTAAAGATGTTGAGGAAGAGAATAATGAACAATATCTGCGAATGACACATAGTTATGGCAGAATGTCAGAAAAAATAAATATTTTGTTTTTATTTCATGTAGTAGCCGGGGGGTTCCAATTACAGCCGCTACAATTATTGCTGGAAATAAAATATACATTAATAACAGGTGAAGGCTAGATGTAGGTCAAACAAGAATTTCTTTGTTTCTTTAGTTGTTTTTTCTATTTTTATATGTACACATTTGTGAAATTATATTACATATTACAACAAAAATAAGTTTATGAAATAAAACTCCCGGGTTTAAAATCATTATGCAAATAATTCCTTATCCGAAAATCTTTTATTTGTCTCATTTCGTGCACGGACTTCAATAATAGGAATAATGTGACCGTGCAATACTGTATACGGGATTGAAGTAATTTTTTATTGTGATGTTTATAATGACAACTTACCCATTTAGTATTTTTAGAGACCACTCGAAAGAAATCAAATGATAAAAATTAATTAAATGTTATAATTATCGTGATTTTGGTAAAGTAGGACTGATTTTGTCTTTGTATTTGCACTTTCCTTGAATTTGTTTTTAGTGTTATTGTGAAATATGACAAACATATTTTGGCATACAATAAATGAATAAATGACGTCAACTCGCGGCCGAATCGTTAGCCGAACAGCTTATTTACGCTCCGTGAATTCATAGAAGTTAAGTAACTACAGACACCGTGGGTGCCTAGGCGTGTACCCTCTGGAACCCTCTAGCAACCCCGATTACTGACGGCGCCGAGCCCCTGGCCGAAGGGATAAAGGGCACTGACTGACTGCGAGGTGGCGAAACGTGACAAAAAAAAAAAATCAACGGAGAATGACTACAGGCTCAATGCCCAAAAAGGATTTAGAGACGCGTTTCGAAGGCGAACCCACAACAAATGACTAAAAAAAGAGTATGATTACTGTGAGTATTATTACTATGAACATCTCCATTGCTTACCTTGGAGTCCATGCCGCCAGTACCAACGCGCGACTTTTGGCCGAACTTGATGGTCTCTCCCAAGTCGGGGGTGTAGGTGGGGATTAGACGAGCGCCTTCCTGGGACGGGGGCTTCGTGTACATGCCGTCCACGTCCGACATGAGGATAAGGAGATCAGCCTGGACCTCCGCAGCCAACATGGCCGCCAGACTGTCGTTGTCCTTGATGCTAATAACCTGCGGGTCAGCGAAAGAAAATTGCACGAGGACGGCCCTATCAGGAGAGATAACGTTCGTCGAGATATCATCTCCATTAGTGGTTTGCCTAATGAGAATAAGTTTTTAAAGGTTGTTAATAAAATCACAGAATGTGATCCAAGTTTAGAAAAAAATTCATAATGTTTGATTGGAATCCTGAATTTCTTCTTCACGAAACGAAATAGCTCTTTATTAATACGACGCATTAGCAAGAAAAAAAAACGCTTGATGTCTCAGTATAATGAATGGATCCATTTCATCATGAAAATTATGATTTTCGATTTGTTCTCAAGTAAATAACTTTTCGCTCTATATGAACTTCTTTTTAAAAATAAATAAATTAAAAACCTCGACATTCGAAAGAGATATTTCCTTAATTACATGTAAAATCGTCCAAATAAAACAAAAAACAATATAATAACATGCCATAAATGCTTTTTCAGAAGGCTCTCGTGGACAAAAGATACTTGAAGGACAAGGGACACTCAACTATGCCCAAGGCGGAACTAGAACCCGTAACCCTTCGATTCGAAGCGCAAGGTACACGCTCTTAGTCACCATGTCCATCCTGGTCAGCCTATAAATGAATTACTAATTAAATCATACCTTTGGTCAATATTGACCAGAGACTGTTCGTACATTATGTTTGGCTAATTTTAAATATGTCATGAATACCAATCTGAAGAGTATGATTCTTTTTCCGGTCGTTTGCGATTCCATCTATGACCTGCACGGGATTCGAACTCACTAACAAAGATTATTCACAGTTACTACCTCTAAATGTGAATTTGGCTCCTTAGTTTGCAATGCAATTATTTAATTTCTGCAAACAGTTACATTATGATAGTAGGATTTATACTTTTTCTATCTATAACCGGCAACTCTAAATCCGTGTGCCCAGATAATTGCACCCCGGGATCATTTGACACAACACTTGGCATCACACATGCGTTTCCCAGTTTTGGAGTCAGCAAAACACAAAACCACACAGCACAAAGCCACACATGCGACAAAACACACGTGGAAAACAACGAACAAACATGCATACAATTATCAGGATTCCAAGCTTGACACTTCAAGCAGAAAGGGTGAGCCGGCATACATTCTAACTGAGCAACCCTGCCCACCTGAAAGAATTATTATTATATCACAGAGAGATAACACCGAAACAATTAACTATTTGAATGTCTTAATGTTATGGCAGAATTCAATAACCAATTAATATGTGCATGCAGCATAATGAAACGCAATAACACACACTTAGGTATGTAACGCTGCAAGTGATTTTTTTTAAACTGAAGCATTAAGCATTCCCATAGTTTGAAACCGCTTAGAAGAGTAGAAACATGCATTGACAATGACATCCCCCCATGCGGAGAAAGTCAAGACAATGCACCTTTTTGGAACCTACGCCAGCCAGATCTTCGTCTGCTTGCGGAGGAGGGGAAACTGCGTCGTTTGTATTGATGATCGGCACAATGTTCAAACTGATGAGTTCAGAGAGGGTGCTGAAAAGATTTCTGCGTGTCTCCTCGTTGTAGAAGTCGGGCTTCGTCACAAGAACCTGCAAGGAAAAATAAAATAAGTAATTTTAAATCTATATAACGGCCAAGGAAAATTGTATATGGAGTTATGGCAGTGTATGAAGACGATTCTTTGAAAGAAGATAATAAGGATAAAGAGGTTTTGATGATTATTGGGCCAGAAAGAATTATGAGGGAAGTTAAATATATGGTCTATCTCATTTATAACTTGACGTGGAGGAACCGTATTTAAATATTATAGGAAGTGTATATAGAGGAAATTAACGGTAGAGAAAGAAAAATGTTTGGAATGTTGATGGAGATGAAAAGGAGAGAAAGCTATACTTTTGTATTCAATGAAGAGTTGAAGACGGATGGTTGGAAGTTAAACACAAGATCATTACAATCCAGATGAATGAATCGAATCGTCAATCGCTCTCTACCCTCGTCAATTGCTCTGTCCTGAAAAGAGTTTTCAAATTTTTGGTTGCGTTTTGCAAACATTATATTTTCACGACGATAACATGGCATAACGTTTTCAACTACGTTTATCTTTATTAAGTAAAGTATCTAAAGCATTTTTTTGGAATAACATCAATACGGTAATATTAGAGGAAGATTATTAGATAAATATTTTCATGATTTAGATATATTTAGTCAAACAGTAAACGCTGTATGTGACGTATGGGGAAGAAGATTGTTTTCTTCAGTTCCAGAATCACTTAAATAAATAAAAATAACATCTTAAAAAGAGCGAGATTAACAACATTTGAATAACTAGATATTTTCTTTCCTGAGTTATATAAAACTTATTTGCTACGGTAAACGAACTGCAGATTTGATTTTTCTGTATTGCTAACAAAACAGTAACTCGCCCTTACCTCCACACCTACCGCTACAAGCAAAAGGAGAGTTCAACAAAACGTGCACATAGTAAAGCTTTATTTACGCCAACAAGCAAAACAAGGGTCCATCTCAGCATTTGTTCAATGTATTACAGAAACTGGATAAAAACCTGATCGAGATGGGTTCATGTTCATCATTACATCAAGGGATCAAAGAGGGAAAATCGAAATGAGGATGACCTATAACAGAATTCATAAACGATGTAAATGAGGAACCTGTATTATGTTCAAATAAAACCAATACGAGGAAGGAAACCTTTAGACAATAATGTCACACACCAGCCCACGAATTGAGAGAAGAACTGTTCATTCGAAAAACGTTCACTGAAATAATGATGATAGCAATTAATTGCCCCTTCTGCAGAGTATCAAACTACCGTATGAAACTTGTATTATTGATTTGCTACTAGCCTAATATTTTTTTTTCAGATGTTAATTATACAAATGTTTGATATCTATACGAAATTGATCCTTCAATCAAATAAGAACGGCATTAATTAATTTATATATTTATGAAAAATGGTTTTAAGTCTGTAAGGAAATTTTGCATTTGAATCAGTTACTGTGGAGACCAACTTCAAACTAATTTATTACGTTTTTGCCAGGTACAAGTTAATATAGGAAACAGAAATATTGGAAAAACCTAAGCAATATTTTCAAACAAAAAATACGTTTTTTTCACAAACAAAGCACGTAACGTCCTGTAATTCATAATATATTACCAGCAAAGGTTACATCTCTCTTCAAAACACAAATTACAAGTTCTTGAAAACAAATACCGTTTCATCAAACTATCGAAATGGAATGTGTACTGTCACTCATTTTAAATTAGCAATGCGTTCAAGCCAGGTGGAACGTATATTAATGTTCCTATACCATCGCCAGACTCGTGATATTTCGTTCGCGTTCGCATTCGCATTTACATTCACATCTCCGTATGACGAACAGTAAAATTGCACTTTAATTCTGTAATTTAAGCCTGAAGTATTATTTTACCCCGCCCAGTTTAATGTGCTTTTGCATTGGCCATCTGTGCACAACAATTACTAACTATTGATCTTGCTATAAACCAATGAATTCCAACTGTATTTATCGGACAACACAATACACGGGTCTCTGCAAATGAGCGAAGAGTTCAATACACAACGAGTAAACGATTTTGTAAACTCTTCTTTTTTAATTGGACAATTTAAAACAATGTACTTCTTTTCAGTTCGCCCCTAATGGCATTTCGTGATTTTGTATTAATAATTTAACTTTATACTCATAACTACTACTGCAAACTAACAAGTTTCCTCATAATCCATTGCCAGAACAAGTTATAATAATCACTTTTTCTTCTTTTTGGACGTTCACCTATAACACACTCAATTTATCTAACAGACAATGTATAATATAATGTAAATGCTTTTCTTATTATGTCAGTTTATATTTTTATAACTCTCTTTTTCATGGCGGGCTTAAATATTCCTTCAAATAACGTGAATATATTCTAGATGTAAGTGAAACAATGAGGCAAACTTAGAAAATAAATTTTCTAGGCGGCAATTGAGGACTTTTTTTTATATTTTATATATTCTTTTACCCTAACAATGCTTAATTAGTATTGTATTATGATTTAGTATGGACCAAGTTACTTTTATGATTCGCTTTAAGAAATTGTTTTGTATTAGTTACAGCTAGACTGCGGAACTTCATGCAATTGCATTTTTTTACTGATTGCGAATATGAAAAGAATATAACGAAAGAAGCAATCAACAAAATTAACCCTTTTTTATTTTGCATAATTGTATACTTCTGAGTTTTTTAACTGCATATTTTAACTTATGCGGCATTTTTAAGTGCACATATTCCACTTTTATTTTAAGAAGTGGGTCAAAGTCAGATATTTTCGCGTATTTCTCTTTCAAAAGAAAAAGTTAAATAAGCCATGCCAATGCTACAATACCAACATAACATTTCCGATACTATTCTATAAGATTTGTTCTGCTTGAATCGATTTACTTTGTCACTTTATTTGTGGGCATACTAAATTGGGATTAATGTTACGGCATCTTGTAACAATGCTATTGGCTCTCTCGCTTCGTATTTTGTGTTTTTAATAAAGTTAAAAAAATATTTTTATTATACTCATTTTGTACTACAGTGTAAAATGAAGATGATGCAAATAAAACGTATCTGTTACCAACTACATATTTTTTTAATGCATATTCTTAGTTTTAAACGAACATATTGGCTGTTGTAAGATAATATATTTCCCTCCTTACATGCATGGTTGCACGAATATGTTTTTTAACTTTTTTAGTGCATGAACTTCCGGGGTCTAGTTATAGTTTCTTTAAATGGGCAGTGCCTCCCCGTACGGGGCATGGCCTAGTCAGCGACGGGCGATTTGTAGACTTGTACATCTGTACGTGCAGTAAATAACGGATTAAGTGAAATTTCCCTTCTTTTCAGGACAGGACACTTAAAGTTTGCAGAGTTGTGTGATTTGTAAAATCGTAATTTGATGAATTTAAACGATTAAATTGATGAAATTTCAAAAAATGTTTCGTAGTGTTAATAACTTCTCGTCATTGCAAAGTTGATGTAATTATGTTATCTGTAATTAGATGACTTTTGAAGTCGTGCCCTGGAAATTTGATTTAACCACTTAATGCGCGCACATAAATGCTAACTCTATTGGATAATTTGGTTCGGCTACATAATGTAATGTACAACTGTACTTTAGTCTTTCAGCATTATTGTAATTTTTAATTTGTATGTGTTCCGTGAACTTAAATATTTAAAAAGATTTGAATTTCACATTCGACTCATTTTCGACAAAAAATAGTGGAAAGTGAATATCACGTATGCGGGAGAGCTAAAATATGCACAAATATTTCTAGTTTTTATGAACTCCAGAATCTATTCTTAACCCTTTTACTATACGTAGTTGAATGCAGAATAAAAGTTCCAACAAAGTGTCAACATTGGAAAACTAGAAATGTTTGATCCGTGTTGCAGAAAAATGATTTGCATCGTTAAGCGAATTACAGATTTGATTTTATAGTATTGCTAACAAAGTAGTAACACTCACCCTTGGTTCTCCTCCTTCCGCTACAAGCAAAAGGGGAGATCAAAAAACCTGCGCAAAACTCACGCAAAAACCTGCGTGAAGCTACCTTGTCCAGATGCAAGTAAAACAATTTTATCAAGCCGTTGGAATACGATGTGTAAGAGTGTTATCAATACCTATAACAAGTTTGTCTTAAATACCAATGTTAAAAATAGGATACGTATAATTGGTTTGTGTTTCATTGTGAAAAAAAAAAACAATTGAAAGTGTCAATCCACAAATGTGACAACCTTGTCGTGAGAGTATCACAAGGGCGGTAAATAGTAAACGACAAAATATCTAGTACATAATTAAAAATAATTTGAAAGTAAAAATCACATAATATTAATATTTTAATAGTAATGAAAGGAACTGGACTGGGGTCAATGAAAAGGAAATGATACTCACCTGCGCTAGTTTCACGCCGTATTGCGCGAACATGGCGTCGTACAGCGACATGAGCCCAGGCATGCCAACGGCAGCGGCGGCGCGAGGCTCCAGCAGGGTTCCCGCATCCTGAAAACAACTCACGATAAGTGAAAGGAATGGCGTTTGATTGAGGGCCAGCGGAAGGATAACGCAACAACTGCAGTTGCAAATTATCTGATAATTTTCTGACCTTGCCCTACTCCTCACGAATCTAAGCTTTCCTCGTGGGAATAGAGTTAAAAGAGAGAAAAATTATGTGTTGAACTGTACCAATTGGCAGTAATATCGATGACCAAATTAATATTCACACATACAGTAGAAAATACATATATCCATATACATAAGAAGTATACCTAATTGGAAATTTAATTTGGAATTTTGCATTTGCATATACAAATTATTAAAATCGTTGTGTAGATTTTAAGTTCTTTTCTGGTTTACCGCGACAATTCTCAGGGTTGCAGTTTGACGACCCAAGCGTTGGCAACTGAACGTGGCGCCTCCCAGACAACCAAGTATCTCTATGGAATACGGTCCTTTTAGACCTCTTTTGAAACGAATTCTGATGTGCCACAATTCGAAAGAGAATTCAAGTATTTGAATAAGTATTTTAAACTAATTTTTAGAAGTAATAGAGTTCTCACAACTCTAAAATTGGAATTAAATATATTGTGAATTTGCACAGAACCCCGCAAGAAACTTCACAGTAAAAGAACACCGAACTTTATTCCGAATAGGTTGGAAGGTCAAATGAAAGATTTCATGCGTTCATAATTGCGAAATCTACAATTCAAATTAGATAAACAAAATTATTTTTTTTTGAAATTTATTTGCTTCCACTTCAACTTTCGTCTATTTTGTCTCAAGATTTTAATGGGTACAATGTTACACAGAATGGATTTACTTGGCCATTCTCAGGCAAATGCGAGTCCCCCTATTATCTTGCACTCTGTTTACATTTTTTTATTTACATAACATGATTATGGAAGATTTGCATTTATTGTTTAGAAGTGGAGGAATGCTGTTTGTGGGAAAAATAGTTTGGGGGCATATCACTTTATGAATTAGGATAGACGGAAGTGATTTGGGGAATCTGGATCGAATGCATGAAGGATAACATGCGTTTTGATACAGACTGAATATTGAAGTGTTGGGTCATGCTGGGAGATGAGAGTAATATCATTGATATTTTTTTGAGATAACTTCTGATAGGAGCGATACTTGATGTTTTCGATTGCATTGTGAATTTGGAATGAACAGGGGAATTTTCAGCGTTTTTCATAGATATTGGTTTTGGATTGACAAAATAATTGTTGAAAGAGAACATATTGTCAAGGAACGTTATGACAATTGAATCTAATAAACATTTTTGGTTGTGTTCAGAGTACTCTTAATGCTGCATGTGGTACAGAGAAACAAATACACCGACGCGAAATTGTAACCAACAATATCATGATGCTCATATGGATAAAATGAAATGATACTGACATTGGTTGATCAGGTATCAAATTGTAGAAGCTTTCACTAACCTACAGAAGTAATGTGATGGGCTTAAATTAGGGTTAAATAATAACGACATGTTGTTCGTTTATAATCTGCGAATTCTGTATTTTCTGGCACTGACGAATTAGAGTTGATCAAAATCAAAGCAGTACAAACATGAAAATTTGCAATAGGTATTGCAATGTATTGCGTGATAATGAGATGAATGGCAAGTAAACAATTTAATATCAGGAAACTGCGCAGCAAATTGCTAGAATTTGGAGAGGCAGCGTTTATTTGCTTGGTCAAGTGAAATACAAAATAAAAGCTTCGAATTAAATCAACAATTACAGGAATAAAATTGTCCCTATACAGTGATAGATTACACAAGACAAATGTAAATAAACAACACGCCATACCAATAACTCTATGAAACATTAAATGATCTATTGAACCACTCATAGAGCAATTAATTTCATGTACCTCATATCATACAATATCGTTGACGCCCGACTAGTAAATCAGTCAATCATTCATGAAAATCAATTATTTATTTACAATTTAGATGTGTTGGAGATGGAATAAAGATTATGATGAAGTACCTTCAACAAATCAAAATGTATATGATGTAAAATGTATCAAATATATATATATATATATATATATATATATATATATATATATATATACTGTATGATTCTGGTAATTTGATAAAAGAGATAGGAAACTATAATAATAACCATAAAAATCTGCTATAACCCAAAACTGTTTGCTTTGTTTTTGTTAACTAGCTTTTCTGTTTTATTTTTTCCATGATAATAGTCGTATTTTTAATTCAATAACGAACCAAAACTGACTTCGGAAAAAATAAAAGTTTGAAAAAAATTTATTCAGTATTCGACTTCTTTTAAATTTAGTTACATTAATTTAAAAGGCGGATAAATTGGTAACCCTGCGTTTAATAACAAAATCCAAGTAAAAGTGTTAATTTTGCATTATTATTTATTGTTCACTCAAACTTCGAACGTGGAAAATTGTTTAGTAGTTTGTTTAATATTATACTAGGCAGTAAAAATAAATCATATTTCTCCAATAACAATTTAAATAATATTCTGTATTTTTAAAATGTTTTATTGCAGGTGTTTTTAGATCTGTCAGTTGATATACATCTGGCCTCTAACCTCCAACATCTCCCGTCTGAGCGGTGTGCGAAATACCTTCATCAACCACTTGTAGGGGAGGTGACGTCATTCCTCTTCAGGTCAAAGTTGTATACGGACATCCTCAGGCCCATATCAGATATTTTTTAAACACTGAGATACTCTTTAGGTCCATCTCAGCTCTTGTGAGCGAAGAGAAGGGAGGTATTTATATAAATTAACAGATTAATGAGTTATGTGACACCACCTACATGCCCCGTTTTCGCAGGGTCCGAAACACCTACCAAAAATTTCTTTCGTACTGCTTCGGTGAGGATAATGAAATGAGCACAAATGAGAGGAATGTGAGAAGAACACGAACTGAAAATATTACACGGGATTTGAACTCAGAGTTTAAAGATAAAGGGTACTTTGGTTCGTAATAAATTCTGTGCCGAAAATCTCAGCCATAATTCGTTTGAGAACAAACGCTTAGAAGAACAGCAAAGAATAGATTATTACAATAACTAGTCGTTTCGGGCAATCGTAACCGCAATGTTAAACTGAAGGTAAAACAAAAATCAAAATAACGTAAAACCTTTATTTTTGTAATAACCGTCATATCTAACCATATATACCAATACTCACCTCTATGTCCATTTTTGGAGATCAATCAAAATGGGTAGGAAGAAAAATTCTAAATAATTAGAGGAAATATATATATATCCCATCCATTTTGATCGTCTTGCAAAAGGGACTTGTAATAAAACAGTGAATTACCTCGCGCGTGTGGTCCTTGGGCGAGAGGGTCTCGCGCATGCTGAGCGACATGAGCAGCTCCTGCGTGAGCTTCTGCTTGCCGAACGCCACGGCGCCGCTCGTCACCATGATGCACTCGCGGCCCTCGATCTGGCACTCCGCCACCTGCAACGCGAGCGGCGCGTGAGGCGCTGCGGCAGGCTGGCGGCGCGCTGCGGCCCGCGAAGCGCTCGCGTTGTCAGTGCACGAGAAAGGTGAATTATCTCACACATCGTCAATTTTGAGTCGTGTGAAGAAATGTGGTTTCATTGAATTCATTAGTGATTCCGGGCGCGTCAACGGGTGTGTGTGTGTGTGTGTGTGTGTGTGTGTGTGTGTATGTATGTATGTATGTATGTATGTATATATATATATGTATATATATATAATATATATAATATATTATATATAATATATAAAGGCGATTTCTCCCGCAAGTGTAGTTCATGTGTCCCTCAAAATGTGGTGATTGTCGCCCGCTGGATGGTGAGATCCGGCGCTGACCTACCACCTGGCTAGCGGAGTTTACCCCACCAGGTATTTTCCACCAGCAAGGCACCGCTCCAGCAAGTGACCCGAGACAAGCTCTAAGCTCCCGAACCGGCATGTGTGATAGTGCAGTACATAAAGTGTAAATATGAGTAAGTGAGGGGTAGGATAGGACAAGGAAAAGAAAGGAAAGATCGCACGCGGTCCGCGGCCCGTTTGTTAGGGCTCCGGCATTCGCCTGGTACAGATCGGAGCTTCGATCGCTCGGAGGATAAACTGATGTCACTCTAGAACCTCTGATCGGGAGGTCCTAGGGTTTAAGTCCTGACGGTGGCAAGATTTTCGACACTAACTAGGACGCCTTCAATCGCCGTCAGGAAGAGAATTCCAGCGGCCGGCTGCTCCGATCAGAGGTTTCTCCAATCAACATCAGGCAAATGCCCGAGCAGTACATTTACAAACGGGTTGCGCGCCATCTTTCCTTCGCCTTCCTTGCCTTCACCTCACCCCTCAATTACACACACACACGCACACACTTACATGTACTACACTACCGCACATGTCAGGAGATCTGTCGAAAGATTACAGTTTGTCCCGGTTACGGCGGTGCTCCGTTAGTGGGAAATACATGGATGAGGGATACCCCGACACCGGATCTCACATTCACCAGGAATGGAACGCCGGTAGCATATGTGATAAAACCATACACTACACATATGGGACTACTGACAGTAATGATTGCCACGCCCAGAAACAGGAAATACATCCATCAATCGATCGATCCAAGCATCGTTGCCTTGGCTGGCAAGTACAGATGATGAGGTTTTAGAACACAAAATATAAATACCATTTCGTTTAGAAAACCAAATAATGCTTATTGCATCTCTCTTTGCTTATCTGCTTATAACTCAAATGGTATTTTCCTTTTGTTATTTCCCCAGAAATTGTTATCCTTCGAGTGGACGCACCTGAGCTAGTCTCGATATAAGACGTACTTTGTACATTTGTATAGCATTTATTATACCATTTACAATTAATGTAATCAGATATCTTGTGGAAATCAATATGGATATATAAATAGAAGTTATCAACCTCAATAAATAATCGTATTAATGTAATTTTGTGAAATACAATTATTTATTGTAGAAAATGACTTCTATTTATATGAAAATAATACAAAATTAGGAATATTTATTTATCTCCAACAAGTGTTTTCAATTTTATTTCTAAATTACAGTTGCATGTACTCTTTACATCGGAGTATCATTTAGTCTGTGCCGAGCATTAAATGCACGTAGAAATACATTTTGCATGATTTTTTACTTTGTACACATTTGAGGACCTAAGCGTTATCGTATTCTCCGCCTGGCGGCACTTCTCGCGTTTTTTTTTTATTTTGTTGCGTCTATATCGACGCAACGCATCACCTAACACAAGGAGTGTTGAGCGCCCTGGAGTAATCATCCGTTAATAAGCTTCCCCTAGGGGCCACCATTTAGCGTCTTCGCGCTCGCGTCTCGCACGCGCCCTGCGTCATCTACCCAACGGCCAGAATTAAGAAGGAATAAGGGTAGAGGTAAGGTTAAAGTCGCTTGACAGGAGTTGGACTAGCCCCTGTGAAACAGGCAAACTCGCTTTGTCGTAACAAATTTCGCATGAGGTTCTACGGGGATACTACAGGAATCGAACCCGGAACCTCAGTGGCAAGCGACTTTGCCACGAGAACACATTTACCTCACATTTGGATCACGCATTAACGCGTGTTCCCGCGTCTATCTGATACTGGCTTTTTTGTTTAAAAATAATCGTAAAATGACAGATTTTAAACTTGGGAAAATAATTTTGCACGTATAGTACTTATAACAGAGACCAATATATTATCTCAATGCTCACAACAGATGTCAGCAGAAACTCTTGAATAAACAAAACAAGCGAAACCAAAACCACTTAACGTCTATTTGAGAACTTTGACCGGTACCAACATCCACAATATCGATTGAATGGACGCAGGACGATCTGTTCCGAGGAATGTCTAATCGTAGGAACAAACGTACGCGTACGTACTGTATCAGAGTGCCGCCTACCCACCAAGGACTGCAATTTCCGCAAAAAGTCATGAGAAATCATGGAGACTCTCACTGCAAAATTTCATATTAATGGAATACGTAATTGTGAATAGAAAAAATAAGTGTAAATTAACCGTAATGGACACAATGAAAGCGAGAGGGATAGCATGCAAGGAACGTATCTCCTTCGGTTTTACCTACAGGGCTCAAGCGAGAAAGCTAGGAAAGGGTTTGAATTGTTTTGAAATCAATATAGCACTTTTGTTCCTCACGTTTTCGTATTACTGTATATTTACAAGCGCGTATTTCTTTACGTAATCGTATTCACAAATGTCGACAAATGCATTGTGTCGGAGCGCCGTTTGAAGCAGGGTTGTGAGCGGGCGAAGGATCAAACCGTTTTCGTTATGAACGACTGGCTGGCGACAACTTAACAGGGTGCTGTTCTTTTTTCGAAACTAATTTTTAACGCTCATGACAAATTACGATGTATATTTTTATGTTGAAGTTTCATTATTTGTAGTCGCGCAATAGTTCTGGTTGAGAGGTAGGTGTCACACATTGTGTTGGGATGGGTAAAAAAGGTGATTACGTTTTCTAAGTGCATGAACATAATTAGGCATGGAAATTGTATTACATACTTTCTAACATTTCTTTATACAACTACGAATATCATCAGTCCAATGATATAATGATCTCAAATTGCTGGGTGTTCTGAGATAACTATTATCATTCGGGAAAGAAAGTTGACGAAGCTCTGCAGGTAATGCGATATGTGAAAAACTGAACATCTTGCACGCATCGTTTCGGGGCGATTAAATGTTGACTTAAGTGATTTCTTGTACGTTATTTATACGATTATTATTTACTCTTTGTTGTTTATACTGTCATTTAGCTGAGAGGAGACTTCATGTATTTATGAATAATTTGTATGCGATATTCGCAACGCGTACTTACGTAACCTTTTACCCTGCACCTTGATCTTTGAATACGTACTCCATATAAAATACGGTGAATAATTGAAATCATGTTATCATGATCCCCTAGTATACGTTGTTTCATTTGAAGAAAAAATAATATTTTCCTTCCTCGGCCTCCTTCATCTAAACCAAGCAATGTTGGTCTTCCATCGCAATTTGAGGAATTGAATGCCACCACTGATTAGCGATAGACTAAAACATTTGTAATAATATGCATTTTACAACTCATGAATTAATTTTGTATTTACAGTGATAAACAGTATCATTAATATTTATATTTTCCTTTTACTTCATTGGGTATTTGGATGCTTTTCAGTACATTATGAAAATGAGGCATCTTCGTAGCAAAAACGACTTTCATAAAAGTAGAATATTATATTGATAGCATGTTGCAATCGTTCACAAATATGAACATGTCATAATTTTTTGGTCAATTGAGTCATCAATGTTATTCAATGTATTGAAACATTCAAAGCCATGCTGGCCTACCGCAGCGAAGTACCGAAAGTCAGGCAACACTGTGGCTCATTTGAACTTCACTGCAATGTGAAATTGAAATACTACATTGCCTATTCATTGATTATTTCGTGTTTCCGGGCACGTCAACGAGTATGGCAACTAGTAGTTATTTGCGCGTGTTTCTCGTAAATATAGTGCATGTTTTTCTCAGTGCGGTTGCTATGTATATTCTTCCCCATCGGATGGTGAGACCCGGCTTGCAAGGTTACCATCAATCCAGATATCCTCCACCAGCGGGGCACCTCCCCAACCGGGACAGACTCTTAGCCCCCGACGTCTCTCGATATCAGAAGTCTCTGCGGTGATATTAGTTGATGCCCTGATCCACCCCAGCCGATCTCTCTATTGTCTAAATGTATGGCCTCAAGATGAGTCGAGTCGGTAAGCATTGTGCTTCATCATCAAAGAGAAAATATATTTCGACAGAATACAAGCGAAGAAAAACATTTACCAATAGAGTAGAACTTCAGAAATAAGGACGTGAAAATCGGGACGTCGATAATCAAGATTCGATTATGAAGGAAAAAAGCACGCGAAGGTTTTACAAGCGTGGAGAAGGCAATTATTTTATTTAAATTATCGGTTGGAGAAAATTATACTAGACAGTGTGTACATGCTATTCTGTACATACAATACAGTATTTTTCTGCAATTAAAATCGTAAAACGTTTAACACATTAATGGTTTCGGAAAATGAAATTTCCTCGCGTCGTTTCATCATACAAATATTTAACTTCGCATAATGATTTTTTAGTCGCATTGCTGTCATCTTGAAACATTTTGTGGCGGCTCTGGGCCCGATCGGGATAAGAGCTGTTTCCTGCCGATCAATATTTCAAGAATTTATGGTGAAGACGACTACCTGCCTTTTATTGATGCATCCAAAAAATGCGAGCAATTTAATAATCCGGAAGTTCTGGTCCCAATTAATCCGGATTTTCTAGTTTAGATATAGAATTTCAGAGAAAATAACTTATATTTTGTATCGAACGCAAATATCAGAGGTTGTTCATATCTTAGAAAAGTGTACGTTTTTTAAAATTATATATCAATGAGATATAGGTTGGGTCGACTTTTAAAGAAATATAACATTTTATGTAGGTATACGTGGGTCGGTGAAAACAGCAGAGGAATTAATTATTGACAAAGAGAGAAATACATTGGAGTTGTTTTACACCTACAATGCCTTACTTGCATACATAATTATGATTCCACTAAAAACAGTTGATTTCAATCTCGCAGCACAACTATACAGTATTACACAAGAGCATCTAAAATATTCCCACACACTGATACATTCTATTAAAATTGCATGGCAATGTTTCGAACGTTCAAGAATGGCATTTTCTGCCAAATGTTGAAAATGTGAATAATGCAGCGCATTTAGTTCACGCGGATCAGATGTTCTCAAACTGTGTTCGCGTATTAGCAGGGTAAATAGTAGTTTTTAAGCAATACGTCGACAACATCCTTTGGGAAATTTAAAGAAGAAATCACCCAGTTTATTGAGAAACAAGCCATACTTTGTATTTTCAAGATATTCTAAAATCGATGTGTCGAAACAAATATTTTGTTGTGTAACAAATGTTTTAAATATTTCTCCATATCATGTAATAAATAAAATGTTTTCTTGGAATAAGGGCAATAACAATTAATATATTAATGTTGTTTACACCATTTATTCCGTTTTAAGAATTACTGCGTTTGAAAACCCCTTTCGCGTTTTTCAACAGGTCTTTTGAAAGTCTTTAAAAAAAAATTTTGCCATTATGAGTACTGATATAATGTTAATTTATATTCGATGAGTTGAAAACGCAGTTGTAAGGAAACTTACTAGCTACCTGTTATGTAGTACGGATGGCAACAAAACGTCTGGTGCGTGTGAATGTTTGTGGCATTGACAGGAATGGTAGGGGGTACAGTATGAGAGTTAGAAGTCCCTTTCCTCGTAATCTAGGCGTAATGAATTACATTTCTTTAATTTTTTTCAAAGTGCAGGATTTTATAGATATCACTATTATTTAAATCAAGTAGAATGGGTTTCATTAAATTTTATTATTTTGATGTGAAAAATGGTCTGAAAAGTCTTTATTGTCATATTCCAAAATGGATCTTTATTGTTGAAATGTATGCTATTATTCAGTCCAATTTAAGAGTGTCATTATTGGCACACACGATTAGATATCCTTCATCAAAGTCAGAGGAGCTCTGAGAATGCCCTGGTATAATTGCAGTTTTAAAATGATAAGTGTAAAGCCAATCTGCGCCATCCCGTGGAAAATATGAGAACTAACATGTGCCAGGTTTGTTGCAAAAAAGAACATTTTATTCCAATTCTCATACAATCGGAGTATATTTTGTGGTTATGAGAAATGCCTGTGTTGTCGCCTGTGAGCGATGTGTACGGGGGTAGAATCCAAAAAGTTTGAGAACATCTGGATTCTTTTACAGTCATCGTCGATAATAAACAAAAGAAAACTGACAAAGCCCCTCCGTGCGCGAGCGCAGCTCGTGAGGCGCCCACCTGCTCCACAATGGAGGCGAGCCGGCCCAGCGCCAAGCCGTGCTCGTCCTCGCGGGTGATGACGGCGCTGCCCAGCTTCACCACCAGGCGGCGCGCGTACTTGAGCTGGCTGCGGTCCGAGAAGGAAGGACGCGCCTTCCCCACCGTCTGCAGAGTGCGCTTTAAGTCCAGCTGCCCGCCCTGCAAAACACAAGTTACTGCATTTATTAATAGGTTAAAAAAACTGAAACGAGTGAAAAACGAGTGAAAAACGAGTGAAAAACGAGTGAAAAACGAGTGAAAAACGAGTGAAAAACGAGCGAAAAACGAGCGAAAAACGAGCGAAAAACGAGCGAAAAACGAGCGGAAAACGAGCGGAAAACGAGCGGAAAACGAGTGGAAAACGAGTGGAAAACGAGTGGAAAACGAGTGGAAAACGAGCGGAAAACGAGCGAAACACGAGCGAAAAACGAATGAAACGAATGAAATGACTAAAACTAATAAAATAAAATAAATGCGGTGCCCGTGACGCAGATGGCCGTTGTCTGCTCTGAGGCTGCAGGTTTGGCATAGACGTATTTATAATTGTCCCTTCATCTTTTATGTATTTTTAACTTCTTTATGTAATTGATTCAGCTGAAAATGGGATCATTCATAATTAGAACCCGGAATTTCAGGTACTTATTTTACCTACAAGAGGTAGGCAAAAAGCCATTTATTTTTACTACAATAAGCAGTTAAGGAAGGCAGTTATTCTAGTTAAAGTAAGGATACAAAAAAGCATGTAAACAATAAAAACTAGCGCGTAAAAGGAACGGTAAAAAATGAATAATTAAAATTATTCATTCACTCTAAAATTTACATTATCACATAACGTACAAGAAAACGAACTTTTCTTTGCAATGTTGATTCTGCATGACCACGCGGTACGATGGTTACGAATTTCTTTTTGTCGCGTCGCTGTCTCGTCAAAATACTATTGTGAACTCTCTTTTGAATCTTGAAATGCCGTCAGTGAAAACGGAATTATATTTTTTCCTTCTTCGCACTTCTGTTATCGCCAACACTGAGAAAAGTACATCATATATAGAGAGGTGACCGCAAAAAGATCTGTGATCATACTCAAAAGCAGAATAGGATTGCTCGCGAGCGCACAAAGCCTGACGGCATCAATAAAAAAATTAAAAATCTTGTTTGGTATCAACTTCATTTCCATTGAAACTTCTATCACAGTGACTGCTTCCACAGAAAGACAAAACATGATCGCGCCTTTGAGTTGTCCTGGCTTGTAGGTAATAAATCCAACTTGATCGCGATCGGTGCCAGGAGAAAAAATAAGTAAACAATTGAAAAAAACCAAACATAATGGCATCAGAAGATAAAATAGACAAAAGGCTATATGAAAATCATATAATAATGTGAAAAATGGCTGAAAAGACAAAAATAATGCAAAATGGCAAAATATCATAAACCTAAATCATAAGATAAAATATGCAAAATAAAAATATACTTGAACAACATCAGAAGTACAATTAAGCGATTTGTATTGTAGGAATTAACAATAGTTCTTCAATCTACAATTCTTATTGTAGGAAGTAACAATAACGAAAAGGCATTTTGCCAATCGTCCGGGGTCTGCTCATGATGAATAAAAACACTCCGGGGTCAATATAACTGAGCCTCGTATGACAACGTGTAGCGTAGTCCTGGATGTTTTTATTGTTTTCAACTTCTAAACACAGGTGTACATACTTATTTCTCGCCTATATTATCCACAAGTACCAAAATATTTGTTCCAATAAAAATAAATTCTAATAATTTCCAATCATTGAAAGTTCCAATTCAAATTTTTGACTTATATTCATCATCGAATCATTAATAGTGCCTAGAGACCAAATTATCATTCAGATATGAACCTCCTTGTTCTGTCAGTAAGGCTCTTACATTATTTACAACGAACATGTTAAATAATTGCATCTCGCTAACAATATCTCGAGTAAGTAATTCTAAAAATCAGACGTTGTTACGGAAATCTGATGTCATAATTGAATGTTGTATTAAGAATCACCTCCTGTAGTCGGTTATAAAACCGTTAATGCGAAACTCTTTTAGCAAGGCAGTGTACTTAATTACGTAAATCGCCCGCATCCTTTATTACTGCAGATTTTGGAGTTGATTACAAATATCATTGAGTTAACATCAGAGTAAACGTCCGGCCAAATGCACGAATGTTAGCGCACAGCAAATGGCCCTTCGTGAAACAACGCAATTCATTTAATGAGAGCTCAAATCGAGTAGTGCCAAGGCCGCCCCAAACACCATCAGCGACATTTAAACAACTGCAAGCGACGCGATGATATGAGAATCATTTTGACGTCGTTCACAGCAGTTATACAGCAGTAATGATTTTACTTGGCACTGAAACACGCAAATCAGTTTTAATTTTTTAATCTCATCTGGCAGAGTTTTAAATACGTTTCGTACACGTTTCGATGTGAATTTTTTGTAGTGAGCTGTTGATATTGACATATGAATTTGATCACATCGTTTTGTGTTATAGTTTTAGACATCCGTATTGGTCGGAAGAATCTTCCGGCCCCAGAGTCATTTTCTACAAAGGCCACTACTTCGTCAATCAAGAGGAACTGGAATGGTAGAATTCGTAACTCAAAAAAGAGGGGCTAGCAAAAATCGTGTGGGTGGGATTTTCTTATTCGTACAGTTCTGTTTTGTATACTAAATCTGGGAAGTATATGATGTTTCCTTACACTATTATGCTGTATCACAGGCGGAAATGAACATTTGCAGAATACAGTCAATAAGCGGTAAAAAGGTCGAGTGAATTTAAAAGAATTCTGAATGCAGAGCATAGTGAACTTGATTTTATTCAATTCATTTATATGGAGGTTCCATTTGAGGTTTGAACACATGGGCCTGTGCGTGGATCAGTGCGTACGACCGCGTCCTTTTATATTCAATAATCTTCACTGTGATGAGGTAATTTGTGCGCCTACAAAGAGCGCAAAAGATAACAGAAAGTTATTACTAGAGGAATGCCGCAAAAGAAGGTCAGGGCTTTCGAGGAATTAATCATTATAATTGGGTCAGATTGTTTTGGTGACCATGCATCTTATCGTACCATTGCTCTATCACGGAGCAAACCAAAATTACACATTACGACCTCTTCAGTGCAATGAGATTAGTTTTACCTCTGCCGTATTTTGGGTCAAGAGAGATAAGACCTTGTTCTTTTTCTAGGTGCATTCAACGGGGCCGTTTACAAGGCCAACTCGAAAATAGCGTATCTAAATACCGTTAAAACTATACGTATACATGACATATTGACAATTTACATGTACATGAAATTTTACCACCTTTTTAGAAAATGAATTCGAACATTTTCATAGAACATATAATTATATAATACTAAGTACATAAATTACTAGTAAGTTAATTAAAACAAACCTTTTAAACCATAAAATTGTGACAAATCATCGCGAAGACATAGTGATGATTGACGATGGAAAAGTTTAATATGTAAGAGATATCTACCTACGTATGTTAGTCTCTTTTGGAAACAGATCCAATAAAGGAATAAGTAGAAGAATTACTTTAGTCTGGAAAGAGGTCTGGAGCCTCTCATTCGTTTTAATGGATAGAAAAGTTTACGCCAACTCAAAGAAACTGGTTATGGACTCGTGTATACTACCAACACTCTTACACAGCTCCCAGACATGGTCTCTAACATCAACTCAGAGACTGATTCTCACACAATATCAGATAAAATGGACAGGAAACTTCTGAACATCAATCTGCTCGACAAAGAAAATAGTATTGAAATTCGTTAGAAAACTGGCATCATAGATGCAGTGGAACAGGTGGATCATTTAAAATGGCGATGCGATGGACAGGACAGGTAGCAAGGCAAGACCAACTCAGATGGCCACGCACATTATGTGGGACCCAAAGCAAGGTTAAAGACACCTTCCGTGAAGGAGCGGGATGGACCTGGACCAGAACGGCAAAAGATAGGGCGACAAGGAGAAGCCTACAGACCAATCAAAGACTGACGGCGCCACCATTCTAGCTGCGCGTCCGAAGGCTTTATAATCCCTGTCCAGGCAGGAGGCCTATGCCCACTAGGGGATCTTTGTAGGATAAATAAATTATTTAAAAGGAAAAGATTGAAGGGATTGAAGAAAAACATTACTTTATGTCAAATATCGTAGATTGTAAGTCAGATAAAAGGGTAAGAAGGTATTATTTACGATCGAACATCACAGGAATTCGTGACAAGTGGACATAAATTATCCTCAAGAGAGACTGTAAAGAAAGCATCAACAGATTATTTCCGAGAACTATACAAGAGCATTCAACTGTAGAAGAACAATTACAAATTATATCTGACCAACAAGAAGGCGAAATTCCAGAAATAAGCATAGGCGAAGTCAGAATAGTAACCACAAGCTTATAGAATAACACGTCGCTAAGCGATGATGGAAATACTAATGAACCATTAAACCACAGCACTCCAGAAATTATAAAGGAAATTGCAGAAGTTTAGAAACGAAATACTCCCCTTCGAAAAAATACTGAACCGATTGACAACGAAGATAACTATCTTGTTGTACAAGAAAGAGCCACTTGACATTTTTAGACCAATAAGTCTAATGCCCAACGTTTACATGAGCGTAATCACAATTATCGCAAGAAGAATAGAAAGTTAGATGTAAAACAACCACCAGAGCAGGCAGGATTCGGAGGGAGGTGTAGCACGATAGATCACCTACATATTTAAATGGAACATTGTATGTTCCTCACGAGCAAAGGATATATAAATAGAGGAATTCAATGATATATCATTTGTATGTTTTTTATGATTTGTTAATGCACGTAAGTTTTAAAGAGAGCAGGACACAAATGGCACCAACTATCTCAGATTAGGATATAAGAGAGTTCGTACATAAAATGGAAATTATTACAAATTTTCAATTTATAAAATTATGATAATTAACTTGAAGATAATAAGTAATTAGAAACGAATTTCAATATATTAATCCTATGTATATACTTATTTTACTAGAAATAGAGATAGAAATGTTTTGTAAAATTAATGACTTTGTAAACATTAAAACTATATGTGTTTAAAAAAATATATTATTGGGATCATTAAACCTACTGCACACGTTAACTCTGACATAGCAAAAAACCTTGTAAACAGGATGTTAATTTCTCTTCAGACATGATTTCTTTAATTTCAATATATTTTTATTTACAGTATATTTCATCAGAATAGGCAAATATGTTGACAAATTTATAAAGACGTGCGAAGAGACTGAGCACTCACAGTCCTTAATGGATTTTTAGCAGCAATTATTAATAGCGTACTCTATAAATATAACATCTTCAGCAATAACATAAATTAGATACAATAATTTTAAGGAAAGTCACACACACATGCGTACACAGCATAACTTTATTCAAATTTTTAACCAAATGAAGTGAAATGTTTTGAAATACATTTACATTCTTCCATACAATTGTGGAATTCATTTACCTTACCAAAAATTAATGATATATTTTCACAAATGAACAATCCATTTACACAACTTGAAAGAAGGAGTGGAAACAGAAAATACCATATAATCTCACACATTCTGAAGAAAAGCGTAGGCTTTCGCGGGCGTAGTCGATAGAAACTTTGGCTGCCCGGAAGACACTGTGTCCTAGGCATGGCAGCCAGTTTGTTGTCTACTGTGACGTTTCTCATGCCGAAAAGCATTTGTGGAATGTGCACGCAAATGGCATTTCGCTCGGTGGAGGCTTGGTGTACAGCGTCAACAACTACGCCTAGAACGCGACGTCACCCGGATACCCAAGTATCTAGTCACACATTCAGTTTTGATCCACTTTAAACTTATCCGAGTTTGGAATACCTTCAAAGATAACTCTGTGAAGGGTTCTTCAAATTAACAAAAGAACATAACCGCTACTCCAGTTTCGTCTCAAAAACATAAGTCTGATGCAATCCAAGTGCATTATTTTCCACTAAACCTTATGCATTACTTTCAGGTTGACCATCTCACAACCGTTTTCAGAAATAAAAAACGTTAGTGTACAGCCTCTAGGTGGTAATGAGTGCAGAAATGATATGGTGAATACAATCAGTTGACATCTAAACTGATTTGTCGTGTTGGTATTACCTCAATAAATAATACTGTTTTCTTAAATGTATTTGTTGTAACTGAATGTTTTCTTATTTTATTTTGTCCCTTCAATAGTCCTTTCTGGCGACAGACTTTTGTTTCTTTACTTCTATGGAATGTTCATTCCGAAAAAGAAAATCGTCAGGGTCGATGTCTGAGGTTCGAAAGAAGAGGGAGTAAATCCAAACTGTATCCAATTTTATTGAGTAGAAACTATCAATATTACAGTCATGAGATTAAATAATATCACATATCATTTCAAATACCCCCAATATGAACGCTGATTTATTTCAATGTATACGATCACTATATTCAAAATCTACTGCTCCACAAGGAAAAAATAACTTCAAATACATTGTATCTTAAGAATGTCTCACAACTTTCCAGAAATTATCTATACTCATACTTCGTTTCTGTATGGTATTTTTTTCTCACACTGCTTTCCGGTCCCATTTTCATGAGAAATTGTGTGATTAGTCTATATATTTCTTTAAATTTTGTCTGGTACCATTAACAGAAAGACGTTCCTTGCATCCGCACAAAGAAAAATATTGAATAAAATATTAAAAACGTTTGTTCTCTATATACGACCCTACATTACATCGACAGTATACCGACAGTATACCATTACTGTACAACGACACTAATATTCACGCCTAATTATAAGCTTATCAAAACCATTTCTTGTCGTTGAAACATCATTTACTGCTGAAGAGAGATTTCAAGTACGTAATCAATAAGAACTCTTGGAACTCCTCTTATCATTCCTAAATCACAGTTTTAAAATAAGTAATGATACTGACATCAACTTTCACAAATTTCATTTGGGAATTCCGCTGCAACAAGTGGACGTCTGTATCGCAATGTGAATTACCTCAGTTTCACTCCCCTTGAGGAATCTACGGTGATCAATATTTCCAGATCTTTTTTTTCCCCTCTTGAAACGAAAGAAACTGATGCATGGTACTTCACAAAAATAGTCACTGAAGTGGCAGACAGATACTTCCAGTTTTAACTGGATATTCCTACCAAGGCAAGTCCACGATAATTTTGGCATATTCTCTATGATTTAGGGACACATGTTAACGATTCATCAAATCAAACGTATACTTAGAGATAAACATTCCTTCATTTTAATTGTCATAATACTGATGAGAATTCTTAGAGTAATCTTGTGATGAAATTTGTATGTTGACAGTGTACACAATTCTTTATCAAATATTTATATATCCTTAATCCTTATCAAATAAACTATAGATGACCAGTTTTCGTCCCGAGGTAATCTCGGACCACAGTGTCTACGGATACTCGCAATTCTATATAAAAAATCATATTTCAAAAGGTGTAAAATGTTTCTGTTTTCTGCACAAAAGAAGTAAATACATATTGCTGATAAATGGTAAATAAAAATAGAATTATTTCCGTGCACTGAACTTATCAAAACATTTTTATAAGAGAGATAACTAGGAAACAAAAACAAGACATTTTCAAGACTATAACTCTAAAATGGTTAATTGTACAACAAACCTTAAAGGTAAATTTTATCTACTTTAATTTTGTAAGGAGTATAATTTTCTGTGAGATTTATAGTTATGGAGATAACAAGACACGTCGAAATAGGGCCTTCAAACGGGTCACGTCTTGCACACGTCTTACCTTCCCACACACTTCAGGACTTTTATTATGTTATGCAGTAGGTACCAACAAACAATCGTGCCAAGTTTGAAAACTCCGGGACTTGGTTTTCACGGGCAAAGAGAGCTGCAAAGATGGCTACCGCTTCCGCCACCCGCGGCGCCCCTCGCGGCCCTCGCACCCTCACACCCGGTGGCCGGTGGGAGGCGAAGCGGACGCCAGCCCGCCTGCCCAAGTGCGCGACCCCACAAGCGCTTGCGCAAGGTCACGCGCCGCCCACCCGATAAGCTGCGCCCGCGCCAGCGCCCGCCCACGCCACGCCTTGCCCACCCCGTCTGCGTCTTGGCGTTTTTGCATTTCTTGCATCACCTACGATATTGTTGGGGTTTTATAACTTGGAGGATCAGTGCCTGATACACGATGGAATTGGAAGTTTGTAAAGCACTATCGATCGAACGATAAAGCATTATGGATCTTCTCTGCATGCGCAGTTAAAGTTTCGCTTCACTTTAGTGCATCTGCTCATGCGAAGAAGATCGATAGTGCCGACGCTATGGCGTGCACAATCTTCCTAATATCCCATGGATTTTCCCGTCTTTCTCGATCGAGCCGATAGATGTCGCATGGTCGCCAGCACTGCTCGATACGGTCGCGATCAAGCGACATTAGCAGCACGACTGAGAAAGACGGGAAATGCTGTTAACTATTCCATCGTGAGGACAAGCACTCATCCGCCAAGTTATGAAAAACCAAGTATAGCCAGGGATGAATTTAAGTACTACAGCACTCCCAAGTTAAAATCATGTAGGGGAAGGTGGGGCAAAGCGGAACAACGAAGCAAAGTGGAATTTGCATTTAAAACCCACAGATCTGGAGCCTTTCAGTTCTAGAACAAGTGTTTTCTCAAGAATTGTATTGTCACGACTGTGTCAAGAGGCTACGTTTTAAGCAGAGCGAATTATTGCTGTTTTTCTGATTTTCCTCTGTGCCTTACAAAAACGTAAGTAATATATAACAGTACGAATGTTTTTGTATTAACACCTAGGTCTGATATGTGTGTGATTCAGTGAAAGTTCGTATTTGTCAAACAAAAGTAGGGCTAATGTGATGGGTTCGAACCATTAATTGCTAGCGTCGAGCGGGATAAAGTGAGACGTTGCTATTCCATTTTCCCCTGAAAATTTGCTTCCCGTTTATCACAATTATAATTGTTAATTTAGTAATATGTGAGTTTTATGTTACTTCTCCGTACCCTGTACTCACAAACTGTTAAAAACTAGCTTCGAAGTCTCCCAGGCAAATTAATGTCTCTCTTAGAAGTCAATTTTCTCTTTGGAGAAGCATTTGTAAGAGCAGCCACAACACATAATGCTGGCTTTCTCCAGATTTAGAAACACAGAGATATGCCCTCAAATATTTTCTGATGTTTTCGCTCAAAAAAAAGTGAAGTGTCCGCAGATTCTTTAAAAACTACCTTGAAAGCTACACCCATTACGTCATTGGTGGAGGCAGAATGTCAGTCCCTGATACTTTCTACTCAAGAAATGTTTACTGTGACAAAAGCAGGAACAAATTCAAGTCCACCCCCAGAACTGGAAAAACAATCTTAATATCACCTTATTTTCGAGATTTTAAATCTTCTGCTAAGATCATATGGATCTATGTGCTGTTCATTAGTGTTTCGTAGAAAAAAAGTCAATTCACTAAAGGGGTTCGATATACAGAAAACATTTTCGATGTTTACAAACGTTTATAAACAGAATCAAGGGACACAAATAAATCGATTTATAGAGAATTTCGATACATTCGATTTTTGGAGGACCGATTATATCAATGAAAAGATGAACTGAAAGTAAAATTTGCTGTAGTTACATTGAAAAACCATTACTTTTCACCCGAGACACCACATTCTATTTGAACCCAAATTCCGGGAAGAGTTTATTCACGAATTCAACACGCGTTCACAAAGGACATCCACATTTGGGAAATGCACACGTTTGCACTGCCGCGGCACCTAACGAATCACATCGCTCGCATGGGGGTCATGACTCTGGGGGATGATGAGTCTGAAACCCGTCAGGACGGCGCACACAGGATCGTCAAAAGCCGCAACGAGAGCGATCCCTGTGCGGGCCGCGCGCGCGCGCGGCGCCGGTACGGTTCGAGAAAGCGCCGCCAGTGAGCACGCTCGCAGCTTAAAGTATCGACTGTGTGCGATAGCGTGTCGATAGCGGGGCGTCGACGCGCGTCTGTGTGTGGCTCGGGCTTTGCTGCCGATCATCGCGCTCGTCGTCTGCTGAAAGGAAGAGGTCCGTTTGATGGATGGGCTGGACATTCGCACCTGACACCACGTCAGCGCCCCGGAGCAGCGCCCGACGGGCCGGGGCGGAGGACGGGGCGACGGCCGCAGGAGACACATGGCTTCCCTGGCTTCGTAAGTGGGGGTGATGAGCCGAAAATTGTTTCCAATACTCTGTGATTCTATTATTTATTATATTTCTTCTCTTCCCTTCTTTCTCTTTCTTTCCATTATTTTCCTCTTCATTATCATAATCATGTTCCTCTTTCTCTTGGTTACTGCCATTCTCCTCTTCGCCTTCATTCTCCTCTTCGCCTTCATTCTCCTCTTCGCCTTCATTCTCCTCTTCGCCTTCATTCTCTTTTTGTATGGGGCCAAATTGCTTCGAATTCGTGATATGAGATGGAGTACTGGAATTCAAATACGAGCAATAATTACAATTCAAAATCGCTTTCACTGTATCTCCATCAAATGGGCAGAAAACATTACAAAAAGGTAGCATCCAATACGAAATAACAAAAGAAGAGAAAACCTATGAGTAGAACATTCTGTACTGTTCTTTAATATTAATGCATTGCGCGTGAAACTCTGTAAGTCTGCAATTAATTTCATTCTTAGACCTGCGGAAATTCGGATTGCCAGGTGACAGTCCAAGACGTTAAAAGGAGTCGATTTGATTATTTGGTATGTTCATTTGCTCCATTTGTTCACATGTTCCATTTGCATTCAAAATTACGTGATGATAACATCCTTCAAGAAACGTTATAAATACGCTATTGCTTACAAATGTTATGGGCACAATGTCCTACATTCAACATGTGATTTGAATGAATGTGAAGAAAATGTATACTTTGCTTTCAACGTAACTGTAGTTCTCCCCCATACGTTACACATAATTTTAAGTGTTTTTGAGGTTAAGAAAACGGGCTATAATTAAAAATTTTGCATATTAGTAATAATAAATCATTATATGTTTCTAAATATAGATCTTTACAAAAATGTATAGTTTTAGCAAATTATTCCTCATTTTGATCTCATTTGCATTGTTGGTGAAATTGAGAATTGAATCGAATTTTAATGTATTTTACATTACTTACGGTAGAATCTTGAATCGTGCACTCTTTCTTAACTCACGCATTCTCTCTCTTTCTCTCATACTATATTCACGAGAGTATGATAGAAATCTCCATAATATTCTCAATTTAATGATCAGCAGTTCTAACATTTTAAGACTAAGGATCTTTGACTGTCACGATCCAATGAAAGCACACCTTCAACAAATCCTAAACACATGCTTGTTAACTTGTAACGTTATCTCAGGGCCGGATTTAAGTAGTGCGGGGCCCCAAGCACAAAATTGTGTTGGCCTCCCCCCTGAAAAAATAGCTCCATCTTTATTAAATAAAAAATGTATTATAGTACAAGTACTTTCTGTACAGATACAAACGAAAAGTGATATTTTTTAATAAAAAATTTTACTTGTGTTATATTTTTTTAACTTTAAATACATACATAATTACAAAAAAATTTACATATTCAGTTATAAGTAAAGGAAATAAAGTATAGTTTATTACACTAATTTAACATGTAATAAATATTTTTTAAAAATGTTTTGAAATTGTACATTTTGTTACACAGTACACTACTTGTTTAACAATTATTTCACAGACAAAAAATTGTGATATACGTATTTTTCCGAAACACAGGCCCCTGGTGAATGGGGCCCCCCCAAGTAACTGCTTGCGTTGCTTGTAGGTAAATCCGGCCCTATGTTACCTAATGATGATATTGCTTTATTCTGAAGATACAAGTATCATTTCGTGAATAAAATTAGCGAGTGATTAATAGTAGTTAAAATATTTAGCTCATGTTGCTTCAATTTCGTCACAATAAAATTATTGAATTGCGTTAGCAAAGCCATTCACAAAGTCATTGACCAAGTACGTGGTAGTAACTTCAGTAGTAGTTTCAAAAATGTAGTTGATAACGTTATATCTGGCGCGAAGGTTATATCATTTTAGATAAGAAACCATCTCAATTGAAATTCAAATGTAGACGGTCTGTGAGCTAGCAGCCGTTCCGTATATCATTTTTACAGAATATAACTATTTACAGAAAAACTATTTGTGATTTAAGTAGCTTCTGCACGCCAGTTGACCATTATAAAACAATTTGGAAGTAAAGCTGACCAGCCGCTTGTTCTTACGAAATGTATAGAAGTATCGTTTTTCCTATTAATACATTGATTAATATGCATAATAATGCATAGTTTTAGAAAACATATATAGCCTATTTTAACACGTATATTTGCTTGTAGATATATACAATTAACTACTCCAAATAAAAAATTATAATAATTAACGAGTGTTGGCATAGATTTTTACTTTCTTGCCTAATTGCAAAGCAACGTATTTAAAAAATACGTGACTGAAATGGTGAATTTTTAATACGTAACTCTTATTGTCGTGCCATGGTGTCCCAAAAGTGGATAAATCTTGTGTAGTGCCGAAAAATGTCTAATAACGAAAAAGTGGATATAGTAAATTATTTCTTCTAACACGTTGTGTAGTCTGCGTTTTGTGGAAAATAATACCGAAAAATTGAATTACGGCAAAATAACCGCCCATCTGCATGTCTGACCAAAAGTGGTTAATACTAGGGCCTAAACCTATCAGCCATTGTTCTCCATCTTTGTTGTTCCCTGATTGATGTAGCCGAACTAGAAGTCTTACGAGTTTAAATTGATATTTTGATTTTTAGTAGTTCTTTATACGAAGTCAAACTCATTTTCAACATTTTCTCAAAATTGACTAGACATTTTTTCAATATTTTTTTGTCTTTAAATAGTGGATTAAAGCAGTTAAAGCAGTTAAAAGGAGAATGTCTCTTGTTGTAGAACCACTAGTGTTAAAATTAAAATTAGGAAATTCTATGGATCATGTGCAACAATATTTTAGATATATGAGGTCAATAAATATTTACATAGGAATACATATTTACGTTGGACGATTTCATTTGAAGGTTCATTTCTTTCAACTAAACAAACGGCTTCAGGAATTTGTTTTCAGAAGCTGAAGTGTGTTATCTTCTGAGTTTTCTACCAGTACCTGCAACTCTCAATACGTATAACGTTCTGTGATATATGGCCTTTTCTTGCCGCATATGATTTATTATTTAATGTCTGGCCTGTCAGCAAAGGCACTAGCACTATTCTCTCTTAGTCTGAAAATACCATTATGAGACTGTTTTAATGTTAGTGTTTATCCAATTACGGAAATATTTTATTTATTTCTGACTTTTCCTACGTCAATGAACAATAATCATTTGCATTAAGAAAACATTGCGTTATAAAATGCATGCTTTAGACTAGACTGCTTGTCCATCCGAGTTGGTATCTTTCATCACAAAGACAATCTCGTATTGTGCAACGAGAACAAACGAAAATTGTAATGCGCCTTTACAGTTTGCCACAAATAAATAAAGTTATCTGCTTTCTCCGCAAACTCTGAACTTCAAACACATGGGCTTTGGGAGGCAAAACAAATGCAATGGAGTCTTTTCGGGACGTTGTTTAGAAAGTACTGGGAAATACAACGCAGGAAATTTCCAATTCTTTGTCTGCAATTACGGAATCAGTACGGCTGAATGTTTTTGAGAGAATGCAAACTTGAGATAACCATCGTTACAAATATTTGGTTCGTTTTTGTAACTTTTCCCCAGGAACTGTTGCTTTTGTTTAGTGTGTAGAGCACGCGTTGGAAAATTCTTAGAGGACGTTTAAGGGTTGTACTAATACTGCCTATCCTTTTCATATTTCCTTATCAGTTTCAACCGAATTATAATATTCTTTTATTCTGTAACTTGCATTACGTTATAATCATTTATTGGCATCGAGTGCTGAGCAGAAAAGAAGTTTACTCTAATCGAATCCGATGTATGTAAAAAGATGGTTTCCGTGAAGAAAATATAGAATTAAATTCATAAAATCTTAATTAAATGTGACTTTTTTACGTGTCTTCTCAACTGCAATCGGCAAAAGTTTTCATATTAGTAATATTTTACTCAGGTGACTTTTGATTCTTCAAACTACTATATACATTAGTATTGCTGCTTTAACAGGCGCAAACATATTTAAAAAAACGCTGAGTTTTCATCAAGTCCTAGAATTAATTTAAAGTTAATAATATGTTATCGTCATAAATGTAATATTTTCGGAGTCTTGTTATAATGGAATCTCCAGAGACCCTCCAAACAAGTTATTTTCTACACAATATAAAAAGACACATCAGAACTTATTCACTGCACTTTCGAAAATTAATAATGTATTTATTGGCAGAAATGATATATATCGCTGTAGGCATTCGACACATACTCTTGTTAATCTAATGACTGACACCTTTTCTTATTTGCATTGACAGTATTTTTTTCTTTGCAGATAAATTCAACACGTAAAAATGATCTTACAATCAGAATATACATCACCGAGTCGTTAGTAGGCTATAATTGTCCTTCATCTAATATGCCACGTAGAAAATGTTCCATTCATGCATTATACAAGTCACATTATTGGAACAAATTCCTCTTCTATGACCGCTCATCGCCACCTGTTGTAATAACTCACTTTCAACCCCTCAATCTCGATTATAATTTGATAAATAGAGAGCGGGAAATTAACATACTATTGTATTATTTAACATTGTTTCCATCATAAATTAATTTTAAAATTAATTAGCATAACATCGTAATTTGATTAATCATTATTTTTCCATCAAATTATTTATCTTCCACTCAGTTCAAAAAATAATTCAATTAAACCAACGAGAACATGCAGGCTAAAAGCTACTGTAACGCAAAATATTTTATTGTAATTATTATCCGTTCAAGATATTGCTTTGTGTTTGAGCAGTTTTAAAAATTTCATTTTGGAAAATTAAAATATTTTTTATATTTTATTTTATGGTGCTCTTAAAAACAATTTGAACATTAGTTACAAAATTTCTTTCAAACCACACGTCACGGTCCTGCATTTCACAGAAACACATATATCCCTCTATATTGTACTACTAAATATAATTTCTAGGTTTTTACTCGTACAAAATACAACGCCTTGAGTTTGATTATTGCCACATATTTTCTGACTCCTCGAGATTTTGAAGTGTTGATTCTGACATCATTTCATTTTTGCTTTACCTTCTCAGCTGCTGAATATTTTCAATGGAAATCGGGACCCAGGCAAGGAATTGAATTTCCTACTTTTTATATTTTAAGTTTTCCTTGTCCTTTCTCTCATTCCTATCATTCCTTAAAATTATTTCATACATCGTTTCGCATTACGTTCACATCTATGCAGATGCGATTCGTCATTGGCAGACGGCATCATAGCAATATTTCGTCACATCCGTCACTCACG